CTCCTCTCCTCTCCTCTCCTCTCCTCTCCTCTCCTCTCCTCTCCTCTCCTCTCTCTTCTCTTCTCTCTCTTCTCTTCTCTCCTTTTTTACTTTGTTTTCTCCACTTTATCATTTAGAGACCTGGGTAGTTTCCCAAAAAAGAATGCTGTATGGATTCTAAGGGTGATCTATAGGTAAAGACAGAAAATGCTTTTTTTAACCTTCAAGTTTTGTACCAACAAAATGAATATAAACTTTCATGGAAGTTATTGAAAATGAAGATAATTTTAATTCCATTGCATTTTTCAGAATTCTTGATCATAATCCTCTGACAGCTGTTCAAGATCCCTATCTTTTTAAATTGCCAACATTAAAATACTTGTAAGTATTGCAACACTCTCATGTTCATGAGATGATTTCTGCTCTTTCTTTCTTTCGTCAAAGATGAACTTTTTTGCATTTTGACTAAAAAGTCATAATTTAAATTTTAACTGGGTTATTGAGTAAGAGTTATTGGCACATAAAAATAATTAAGAAAGAATGCATATGGACAAGACAGCTAGCAGAGGAAGGGAGTGGTGCTGAAGAACACATTCAGATATGGAACATGTGGATACATGTGGAAATACCACTGATCTCAGAGCGAAAAAAGAAGGAAGCTGTACATTATGTGTTTTTTTAAAAGAGTGATCAAGTGGTCCTTCTTGTGCAATAGAGAATGAGAAGTAGGATAATGGTTAAGAAAAAAGAAAAAAGATTGTGCTGTTCACCAAGGTCATTAATTTGATGACACAAATAAATTTCAACTTCTTCAAGAAAAGCTCTCTGAAATTATCGTCTATGGCAAATAAGCTCTTGAGCTGGCTTGACAGAGAGCCAGCATTGAAGTAATCACATGTTGTTTAGTGTCTTCTTAAGTATAAAATTTCTGTCTTTGGGTTTATATCATGCATGTTTGGGCTTTCTCCTTCAGAGACATGGGAAGGACACAAGTGTCACTTATAACAGTTGGGAGCATCCTCATGATGACCCCTCAATTGGAAAAACTGTAAGTTGATTTTTCTTATATTTATTTTCACTTAGTGGTTCTTTTAGGTTTGTTTTATTATTTTCTTAAGTCAGGCTTATTGAGGCCAGGTAACTACACGATGTTTTTTTATGCCCAAAGTAATTTCTAATATATTTACCACTCACAATTAGGAATTGAGAAAGGGACTCCATAAGATGGGGACTTATCCAGAACCTTCTTAGAAGCCTTCCCTCTTCCTGTGTACTCTCAACCCAAAGTAAGACTTTTGGGTTGGGAGAAGGAGGTACCTCTGAATTAAGCTGCAGATAGGTGTTGCCCAATCTCACTCCTCTGACCTTTATTCTAGGCATCCCATACCCACTGCCATCCTATCCCTCTGCTGGGCAGTCTGTCCTCCTCTCTATTGATTTACAGTATTCGAGAGTAGCAAATGGCCAGCTGATCCCTACCAAACTGTTTAGGCGCTATGCCCCAACAACTCTTTTTTGCACAGCCCTCTGGTAGCCTTGGCCTACCTCTTCTACCTACTCAAGTAACTCCTTTGCCACTAATTTAATTCTCTGTTTCCATTTATAGGATCTTACCTAGCCATTTGGCATGTTGCCTCTGCCAACTGAAAAATGATATTGAGGCTGTTGGTAAGACAGTCAAACTGCAGTGTGACACTGAATGTTTGAAAAACACACCTTGTGGTGAGTCTGAATTGCCCGACAAGCTTTTTTAATTTTTATTTTACTTATGTTTTAATTTTTTATATTTTATAGATGATAATAATTTTTAAGCAAATAATATAACTGCATTATATTTATTCATTCATTCAGAGTTCCACTCCTTAAATTTCTAACAACTACTTCTTGCTAAAAGTCAGATTAAGGAACAAAAGAGGAATGGAAGGGGCAAGGGAGTTAACATCAGTGGCCACATAGTGTGTGTTGTGCTCTCTGCTTGGTGCTTTACTTACTTCCAAGTGAGAACTTGTTCATCAGTGTGTCACCATTTGTAAACTGTTTTGTATGCATTAGGTTTCAATTGCCCTTTGTCTTGTAGGACAGGCATAGATACATTTTTATTTTGTTTGTTTTTTGCATTTTTTAATAAAAAGACTACAAATGAAGCTGTTTTATGAAAGATTTATTTGGAACCTGAGAGTTTATGGTTCCATCACTAGAAGCTGCTACCAAGCCCTTGTAATGAATGGATGGGAAGGCTCTTGTATTCTTAGACTGTCAAACTCTGAACTTGCTCTGAAGTGCAGGGTTTTTCTCTCCACCAAACACTTCAGTGCTTTTAAGTATTTTTCTACACATTAGGTTTATTGGCACCTACTTGATAACTTCCAAAATGTGCTTTCATGCCCAGATGGGTTGAATATGGGTCTCTGTCAGTTATCTGGGGCACATCATAAATAGTAACGCTCTCCTATTTACTGTAAAGACAGTGTTGCTTATTTTTCAGAACAATGTTTTGACCAATTATATTACTCCCTTCTACCCCAAGGGTGGGCAGAACAGGCGTTTTAATCTCCTTTTACTGGTGAGTAAAAACAAGATCAGGAAGTGTGAAGTGCTGTCACCTAGTGCCCAGGTCTCTGGCTCCCAGTTCTGGGCTCTCCCCAAGCCCATGCTCCTCTTTTCTCAGGGCCCTTTCCTCCTCCTATGACCCTCACTACCACCAGCACTATTAATTCTTCTGGAAAAGAAACCCAGCTGCACAGTGGTACACTTGACCTTCACGCAGTCAGAAGCTTTGGATGGTTCCCCAAGTAAAGCTGAAAATATAAGAAATGACATGAAATGAAAGCAAAGTATGCATCTGACAAAAGTTGCTTTTTCCCTTCTGTATTTTAGAACCCCAAGTTTTATTCCATAGATTTATTGAACATTCCACATTTGCACACAACCTGGCAAATCTCTTAACCTATATCCCAGATGCCTGCCTAAATTTAAGCAAAGAGCAAGGGTGGACATAGTGGGGGTTTTTCTGTGTAGAGCCTTCTGTTATGAGGGCTGGGATATGTGGAAGCAGGTACCAAGCTAAGGAATCGGTGGGTAAGTGGAGAAGGGCATGTTCAGATGAGGACCTGTTAGCAGTGGGCGTTAATCGTGGTCGTCTGTGATGGTAGCAAGACATGAACACACTGAGGAGGTGGACAGAGGAAGCCTCAGGCTTCCTCTGAATCGGAGGCAGGACAGGATGGGGTACCTGAAAGTGGGGAGTCACAGCAGATCTGCAGAGAGTCTTGCTGAGTGAGGTCTTCCAGACTTGGCTTTTTTTCAGTAACTGGCAATTGGCCCTTGGGGAACCAATGGAATAATCCTAGATATAGTCACTATATTTCACACTATGGAATGTTCTGAGTAAATAACCACTTTTACAAAAGATACCTTTCCTCCTTTTGTTGTGTTGACAATCATAGGTTTAAGTTGGGGTTTACTTTTCTCCTCTCTACATAGCATTCAAATATTTGCCGATTCCCAATTTACTTGACTGGGATGTATGGCTGTGGACTGACAAAGAGCTGTCCCAGGAGTCTCTCGTATCAAAAGTGGTCTCTTCTTTTTTGACAGATGAAGAACTACTTATAGAAGGACCACTCATGAAAATATTACACGGTCGGAGGAACACCAGCACTGAGCTGACGATTGAGCCAGAGAGGGCATCCTCAGACAAAAGTGGCGACACAAAACTGGCCTTCATAAGTGAGCAGCTAGACTTTCATGAGAAAAGTGATTCTATGAGTGCACTAAATTACATATGGCCTTATTTCTTGGAGGGAAATCTAGAAGATATAGAATCAATATTATTGCCATTCATTAAACTCCCTTTTTCAAATGTACAAGATGGAGACATACCCCTGGTCATTTGAAAAACACGGAACCCTTCTCTTAAACCTGAATTTTACCATTCAAGTTACAAAAATAAATTGAGGAAACTATTTTCTGGAACAGGCCTCCTGGTAAAGCTTCTCAGCAAGCAGGAAGAAGTAAAGGTTCCCAAGGCACAACGGGATACTGGTCAGTGGGAAAATGAGACCTATCTGCACGAGAGGATGGAAGCCCGGGGTGAGCAGGATGAGGAGGAGTCTGACGAGGTGAGGACAGCTCCTGAAAGGGGACCTGGACTTGTAGTCAGTTTGGGACGTGCCAGGAAAGCACCCAGGAGGGAAGACCAGGGGTGCCGGGTCTGCATCTCGACGTGACCATGTGACTTTGTAAGACAGTAATCTCCCCCTTTGCTCATTTGGAGAATGGTGCCGCTGTTCCTAGGGCAGGTGAGAAGAGGACCTAACACAGGAGATAAATAAATTATACCAGAAAGTGCTAGTGCTCAGCTTCCATAACACATTAGATTTGGTATGTTCCTTAAGAACCTATAAACTATTCACCAGAAAGAGTGGGGTTTTAGAATAGTAACTAAGAATAGTTAGCCGTACTTTAGAATAGGCCAGAGATTAGTTAGTTTTTATCCTTTCCATTTTTATTTTTTTTAATGTTCTTTGTGGTTTGTTTGTTTTTAGCTCACAAAAGGAGTACAAGGATATGGTGACTATAACAACAAATTCATCGTGACAATAACTGTGGCTATAGCAGTAATAATTGTAATTGTAATTTTCTGTCTCATTGCGGTAAGACAACAGTCCATTCAGATCTCCAAAATGTATTCTGTCTTTAGACTAGATTCAGAGCTCACAAACTGAAAATCAAAGCCACTTTCTCACCTACTCCTACTTGATATTCCTCTTTAGTCATGAGCACTGGGATATGCTTTGTTCTTTTACTACCCATTATATTACGGGGATTCTTAAAGGCAGCCCAGCCCACTCCCAGAGATATCTGTGGAATTGAAATCAAGATAACAACCCCCTAGACTATTTTGAGAAGTTTAAGTTTAATAGGCCAGAGTTGACATGATAGCAAAATTTCTTCCACTCAAAACGAGTGATTTTGATTTTATCTACTCCCCAATTACTCTCTTTCTACCACTGATTTCTTTCCTTGTTGGCTGAAATGAGAAGATATATAGAATGTCCACCCCCATGGAGCCATATGCCACCCTGGCAGAAAGGACATGGCTCAAAGATAAAAGTGTTCTTGTCAATTCATAAGACTTACTTTGCAGCTTTCTTCTCCAGTGTGTGAGGCACAGTGTAAATAGGCTCAGTTAAAACACTGCAACACTGCAACCTAAGTCCTGCATCAGGCTTCTCTAAAGCATGTCATATTATAGTCACCTGTTCCTGGAGCTTTCCTGTGTCCCTTTTGTTCAATTACATAATAGTTTATTTTCCCTACAGGCAGGTTGCTAACATTAAAAGAGTGATTTAATAAGCTGAGATCTTGACTCTACCCTACTAATCCAACCTAATTTACCTTATTTACCTTTTCAATGGTCATGGCTGCCCTCCATTCCAGCCAAAGCAGCCCCTCGCCATAACTTAGCCACACCATGCCCATTCCCACTTTTGTTTGTCCCTTTGCCCATCTGAAGTCCCCTAATTTTACTCTGCTTGTGGAAGTCCTATGAATCTCAAAAGCCAGCTCAAGTCCATCTTTCTTCATGAAGCCTTCCCTCAGTACTCCAGCCCCACTGGCCCTAGTCCTTTTGTGAGATTTGTCACCACTTTTTGTGGGGCAGTAGTGAGGTGTTCCCCTCCCCTGAGAACTTAAAAATACGGTAAACAATTTTTTAAAAGGTTGCACCCCAAGAGAGAAAAAGCAAGATCAACACATCCTGGAGCAGAGCAGAGATGTGTAAGGACCAAATGGCTTCCTGGTCTGTCAGACTTGAGTAAAACCTGATTGGATGTATAAACTGCTAAGGAGAAATGTGTATCTGCAGGAGGGTTGGTCAGTAGTAAAAGCAGAGAAAAAGTGAAGAAGAGACCAACATGGGCATTGACCATCCTAGCATTGCCTGAGGGTAGAGATGGCACCTCAGGCAGCAGATGTGGAGAGTCAGGCCCACTAGCCAGGCTGTGCCTGTCAGGGAGACAGATGGATCCAGCTAACTCTCTTTTCTATTCAACGCTGGATTCAGCTGATTCCTTTTGTTCTAATTCTGTTCTTACCAAGTAGCCTTCTGATTGTGCTTCAGTACACGGTGGCCTGTCTCTACAGAATGTAGTTCCCTGATTGCGTAGACATAGATGCTGTCTGTGGAACAGGTGTAATTCTCCTTGTCAGGTCAATATCATAATTCCGATTTTTTATCAATCCTGCTAGTATTGATAAGGTGAGATTTCCCCAATAGGAAGAAGTGAATTCTCTCTTGGTGAGGACAGAGTCTGATTTCTGAACCTAGGAGGCTGGGGACTAGCACGGGATTAGCTTGCCAAGACCCCTGGGAAGAAAGTAATTGACCATTGCCCAGACAGTACCCTCTGCATCTCCAGGTGGCCCATGACCTTTTGCTTTTATGGAATTTCTATTAACTCCTATACTGCATTTAATTTCTATGTAGTTTAACTTTGCATTTGTAGTTCTTTATGTGGTTACATTATTTCCTCTCCCCACTTAGATGATAAGCTTTTTGAGGATGTGGACCATACCATGTTTTATTTTATAGTGGACAATAATAGTGTTCAGAGGAAGAAAGATGAGGCATTTTATCAATTCCACAATGAGTAATGCAACTTACTACTTATTTGAAGTGGCGTACAGAGTCCAGCAATAGACAGACCCGTGCGTTCCTAAGACTTTTGAAGTGTCACAGTTTAATATTCTAATCAGTGGAATAAAATGAGTAAATGGTAATAGAACAGCTACTTAACTATTTGAGATGGAAATAACAGCAGCTCTCTATTTCTTACCTTAAGCAAGAGTCTTTACATAAATGTGGGGGAAAAAGAACCCGTGAAAGTACTGGAAGAGACCAGAAGCAATATTTTTGTAATCTGGTGGTGGCAAATAGCTACCTGAGCCTGATACCACAGGCAGAACCTTTGATAAATTTGACCACCTTGTCCATGACACCATTAGCAAACTTAGCACTGGTTTATGCCAAGCATAGGATGAAGAGTTTTCCATTTTTTGTCTGGTTCAATCCTGTGAGGATGATAGTACCACCCTCTTCCATAGATAGTACCACCCTCTTCCACTGCAAAGCCTGTGGTTTTTACTCCACTGTTCTGTCTGCTCAAAGACAGAGTCACTGGGGAATATTTGAAACCTTGAAATTCCGTGAAAGCCATAGAAAGGATTAAGATAAATCAACAGGAAGGAGACAAACAGTCGAGGGAGGAAGAGGGCAAGGGCTGTGAAGAGTAGGCTTTGTGTTGACAATCTGTCACTATATTTGCCAGTCCTCTGGTGGCTTAGTGGGGTGTAAGTTTTGTTAACAAGGCCTCTGTCACCTTGTGGTATAAAAGTAGTCTCTGGTATTTTCTTCTAGTCCTTTTTATAATATTCTTGCTATTTATACATTTTAAAAAATCTATCATTAGTTTTATTTGGTTTTAGTGTAGTTGACTGCTTTCCCCCTGCATGAAGATCCAACTGTTTCAAAACCCTTTATTGAATGGCTCATTCTTTTTTCACTGATCTAAAACACTGTCTTTGTCTGGTTTCGATTATGTTGGCCCAGTTATCTTTTCCTGTACCTGCAGCAGTATTGCTATATAGTTCCAATTCCTTTAGCATGTATTTTGATATCTGGTAAGGTAAGCTCCTGCCTTTTCACCTTCTTTTCCATACATTTCATAGGTATTCTTGCATATTTTCTCTACTGTCAGCTGGCCAGTTTTTGTTTAAAAGCTAACTTGGAATTTGAATAGGGGTTCATCACATTTGTAGGTTAATTTGGAGAGAAGTGACATCTTCACAACATTCCAGGAACATAGTGTCTCACGTCATAGTGTCTTCAGGTCCCTCAGAAGAGTTTTAATGTGTTCATCACATAAGTCGTCCACATTTTTTGTTAAGTTTATTCCTAGGTACTTTATGTACTTTTATTGATATTATAAATGGGTTCTTTCATTTTTTAACTAGTTATTTGTGGTATATAGGAAAGCTATTGAGGTTTGCATGTCAATCTCTTGATTTTCAATTTAGCCACCTTACTGAATTGTCGTATTACTGACAATAAAATTTTAATCAATGCTCCTGGGCTTTTTAGGTTGTGCATCGTCTCATAGGCAACTGTGTTTTGTCTCTGTCTTTCCAATCCTTCATTTTTCTTACTACTTTGATTAGGGGCCTCCTCAACAATGATGAATAGTAACAGTAACAACGGGCATCCTCCTCTCGTTCTTGGCCTTAAAACAAAGCTGCTGTGTAGGTGTCTGGTAGATACTTTCATTTTCTTTCCCTACTTCTAAGAGTTTTTGTTAGGAATTATCTGCTGAATGTTATCTAAAATAGCCAATAAAATGCATGCAAGATCCTAAGTGAGGGACTATGAAAGAAGAGTCAGAGGGCTGTTCAACAGAGTCTTTGTCCTCAAAAAAGTTATCATCTCACTTAAAAGGGAACAAATAAAGATTTGGAGATAGTGGTCATTGTGACAAATAATCATGATGTTGTTTTCTTCCAAAACAGATTTATTGTCAAGGAACACCATTAGAGGAAAATAAAGGAAGATACTCAAGGTAAATATGAGTCTGACAACTTTTAAAGTAGAATTTTAGAACTAGAGGAGCTTCCTTTCCCCATAAGCAGCCTGAGGTGACCTCTGAAAATGGCTTGCTAGTCACTTGACCCAGAAAACTCCACAAAATCATGCAAATCAAGAGGTTTAAATCTTTGTGTTCACTTTAAGAACACTCGTGAAACCTCCCAGGCCTTCAAGGGTATGCATATCCGAAATGCCACCAAGCATCTGAAGGATGTCACTTTATAGAAGCAGTGTGTGCCATTCTGTTGTTACAGTGGAGAGTTGGTAGGGGTGCCTAGGCCAAAGAATGGGGATGGATGTAGGGTCAGTGGCCCAAAAAGAGTGCTCAATTTTTGCTGCACTTGCTTAAAAATACAGAAAGTACTGCAGAGCTTAGGTGTTTAGATGTAGGTTCTCTGGTCATTGACCACTTCCAGGGGAACAAAGCTCCCAAGATGCAGCACAGGACTTACAGAGCTCAAGGGTGGATTAACCCACACATATGCTCTCCCTGCCACATTGACACGATCCTACTGAAAAAGAGCAGATTGTTCCTAAACTGGAAGAGAAGGTTGCACAGAAAAAAAGGTATCCCAATAGAAACTGAAGGGAAAAAACTCATTGCCTGAGAGTAAATCCATCACAAAATAAATGCTAATAAAAGTAAAAATAAAAAAAAAGAACTAGAGGAGAACTTAGAATGCATCTATTTCAATCTCATTTTATAGTGCAGAAACCACCAAATTCGGAAAGAATACTTATTTATCCTGGTGCTTTGCCTGGGTTTTGCAAAATTAGCTCTCAGCCAAAGCTGAGATAGAGTGGGACTGGCACAGATGTGTCTGCTGTCACTAGTCCTTTAAGGAAATAGGGTACAGAGGGAGAGGTCTTGGTTGTACATGTTCCTGCTAGTGGTGGAGGCTCTGAAGGGATGGGGAAGCCACATGGTCTTAGGGTGAGGGCGCTAGTCTCCTTCAGGGCTGATGGAAGATAGAATATGCGAGTCCTTCCTGTGAAGTAGTGGGGAAACTTTTCTTCTCATCCGACTGGTTGCTAGACCCCTACTCTCTCTATTCCCTTTCTCCAAACCTCAGAGGATTTTAACTGGGAGAGACCTTAGACAGTAGTGTGTCTTTTCCTTTAACAAAAAGGGAATGGAGAAGGGGAAAGGGAAGGTATCTTGCCCCATGGTCACACTGCTAGTGAGTGTCAGAAAGATGCTTCCTTTCCCATGGGGACTTCTCCGGTGATTATACTGTGCTTGGGCTGTGAGCTACATTTTATGTAACAACTCGGTACACACATACTATACAGACATAAGTAGTTTCTAAAACAAAATTATTATGTGCTCTGTTTTTTTCTATTCTATTTGTATTTTTAAAAGAATATTTTGTATTTTGGTGCTAGTTATGATCTTTAACCTGATTTCACAACTCACTTATCAGTGTCAAGCCTGCAATAGGAAAGTCAGCAAGCTAGGTAACTTTGCTAGTTGGACTCAGGCGTTTAGTTGGTGTGATTTAGCTTGTAGGATGAAGTATCTAGCAAAATAAAAGCACTCCCACTCTGCGCAAGCAATGATGCATGTGAGACGAAGTCTAAAGGGGACCCATGTAAAATGTTTCTGGAGAGAGTAAACTGCTTCTGCCAAGTGTGGTTCCCCCCCC